GCATGAGCCAGCACAGGAAGAGCTGTAGAATGTACCTAATGAATGAAGCTACAGAAAGGTACCTAATGAATGAAGCTACAGAAAGGTACCTAATGAATGAAGCTACAAAAAGGTACCTAATGAATGAAGCTACAAAAAGGTACCTAATGAATGAAGCTACAAAAAGGTACCTAATGAATGAAGCTACAGAAAAGGGAGAGGGAGTTCTTGTATAGTTAACATTCATGTACCAATTATTATAAGCAGATCCTCTCTTTAATTATTATTATAATATATCTGATGTCAGCAACTATAGGCCTATTAGTATACTCAGTGTGACGTCCAAAATTCTAGATTACAAAAGCATTCTCCATGTTACCAGTCAGGTTTTAAGAGATCTCATTCAACCGATACCTCCCTCATTAATTTGATGGACTACCTGAGAACTGAGATGTCGCTAGGGAATTTCATAGGAATGGTAACCTTCGACTTGCAAAAGGCCTGCAATACAGTCAACCATAATATATTACGTAAGAAACTACAAGCTATCGGCATGAGTTCTGCAGAATGGTTTAAGTCCTACCTGAGCAACAGGAACCAAATTGTTACGATCAACAACACAGAATCAGAACCCATGCCAATAACATGTGGGGTTCCTCAGGGTAGTATCCTGGGCCCTTTGCTATTCCTGTGCTATGTGAATGACATGCCTATCAGTGTCAAATGCAGCTTCTACTCTACACAGATGATAGTGCTCTGTTAGTATCAGGGAAAGACCCAGCAGACATTGCTAATGCACTATCACTAGAACTAAGAGACCTGTAGCAAATAGTTGGTAGGCAACAAACTATCACTGCTCCTCAGGAAAATGGAAGCTATACTCTTTGGAATGAAACATAAATTGAAAAGAGTAGATAATTTTAATGCCCAGTGAAATGGGGAACCTATTATTACAGTAAATTCTGCAAAATATCTAGAAATCCCTTTTGACCCAAGCATGTCAGGAGTACTAATAGGGAACAATGTTGTAAAGAAAGCGAATGCCAGACTAACATTCCTCTACAGGGAGGGGCAATGTCTACGTACTGAGGCTTGCAGGGCCCTATGTCTAGCTCTGCCTTAACCAAAAACTAAAAGATAGGCTACAAATCACCCAGAACAAAATGGTGAGATTCATTCTGGACCTGAGTCTAAGAGAACATGTAGGCCAGGATGAATTACAACAACTGGACATGCTGAATGTTGAAGACAGAGCAAAACAACTAAAGCTAAATTACATTTATAAAATTGCTCACAACCAGTGTCCCCAATATCTTACTGCCAAATTTGTTAAGGCTGGGAAGCAATGCAATTATAGAACAATGGGAAGGGAGAACAGCTTTGCAGTACCTCGAGTCAGTGGTCAGGCTTCAGACTGCCTGTGCAAGCAAGTTCATTCAGGTATACACAAATACAGTGGACCCCCACCTTATGATATTAATCCGTTCCTGAGAGCTCATCGTAAGCCGAAATTATCATAAGGCGAATTAACCCTTAAACTGTCCAAACAAATTTATGTTCACATGCGTAGTGCCCCAAAAGTAGATCTATGTTTTTTTACATATTTTCAAACAAAAAAAAAAGTAGATCAAAGTTTTTTTTACACGTTTTCAAATGTAAAAAAAAGAAAAGAAGATTTACTTTTTTTACATACTTTCAAATGTTGAAAAAACATAGATCTACATTTGGACAGTTTAAGGGTTAATTTTCTCCATAAGAAATAATGGAAATCAAATTACCCCATGCAAGACACCCCAAAGTATGAAAAAAAAATTTATTACCACATGAAATATTAATTTTAATACACACAAACTGAAAAAGACATGCACAATTACTACTCTACTAGAATAGAATAATTGACACTTACCTTTAATGAAGATCTGGTGATGACTGATGGGATGGGAGGAGGGGAGAGTGTGGATGGTGTTATTGTTTAGAAGGGGAATCCCCTTCCATTAAGACTTGAGGTAGCAAGTCCTTTTCCGGGGATACTTCCCTTCTTCTTTTAATGCCACTAGGACCAGCTTGAGAGTCACTGGACCTCTGTCGCACAACAAATCTGTCCATAGAGCTCTGTACCTCCCGTTCCTTTAAGACTTTCCTAAAATGGGCCATAACAGTGTCATTGTAATAGTCACCAGAACGGCTTGCAGTAGCTGTGTCAGGGTGATTTTCATCCGCAAAGATTTGCACTTCAAGCCACTTTGCACACATTTCCTTAATCTTTGAAGTAGGCAACTTCCTCAATTTCTCTCTCCCCTCCTCTGAAGCAGTTTCCTCAGGTCTGGCCTCACCATGCCTTATCACACTATGTATGCCACTACGATTCTTAAATCTCTCAAACCAACCTTTGCTGGCCTTAAATTCACTCACATCACCACTAGTTGCCGGCATTTTTCTAATTAAATCCTCATGCAACTTCCTAGCCTTTTCACATATGATCGCTTGAGAGATGCTATCTGTTTTTTGTTTATCCACACCAGTAAGAGTCTCTCAACATCTTCTATCACTTGCGATCTCTGTTTCGAAAACAAACTTGCACCTTTTGCAAGAACAGCTTCCTTGATTGCCGTTTTGTTGGCCACAATAGTAGCGATGGTTGATTGGGGTTTGGTATACAACCTGGCCAACTCGGAGACACGCGCTCCACTTTCGTACTTAGCAATTATCTCTGTCTTCATTTTCATAGTAATTTTCACCCTTTTTCCCACAGGGTTGGCACTAGAAGCTTTCTTGGGGCCCATGGTGACTTATTTTGCAGCTACAATCACTAAAAACATTGTGATAATATGAAATGTACAGAATGTATGCGTGGATGTGACCGCACTGGCTGGCTTGTAAACACTGGCACGCACGTGGTAGCTGAGGCCACGCGTGGGACGCGTCCCGAACGAATCGCGTGGGGCGAGGCAAAATTTTTGCGGATTTAACATAACGCGATGCCATCGTAAGGCAGGGGTCCACTGTACAGTTACATAGATTATCATACATAGCAGCATATGTGTAAAGTACCCAGGATAACCCAAAAAAAGTCAGAGTGACTTATTGCCATTGAGGTCAAAGCCTATCCTTGCATAAGCCAGTTCAAGAAGAGAACTAAAATGTAGATCATAAATAAAGCTATCATAACTTTGGGGTCCAGTTCCTGGACCCATTATGTACCTTTGTAATCTTTTGACTACCGCCCACAGGATGGGTATGGGGTGCATAATAAACATATTAAACTAACTAAATAAGGCAACAGAAAGTGAGGACAGAGATTTCTTGTACGAAAATAAATAATTTTATCTCTCTCCTAGAACTAAATCTTTTATTGTAACTGCTTTTACATAGTTAAGATACTTGTTTTTAACTTTTAAATGTAAATAATAATTATCATATTTATTTATTTATTTATTTATGTCTTTGCAAATAGTACACTGAGATTATGTTTTACAATAATGTGTTGCAATACAAAGAGAACTATTATATACAATAATTTTTGTACCAGTGATTATTATTATTATTATAATCAAGGGGGAAGCGCTAAACCCGGAGGATTATACAGCACCTGGGGGGGATGTGGAAGGCATTCAGGCTTAATTTGGGGAACTGGAGCACAGATCCAATTCCCTAAATCAAGATCCCCACACCAACATCAAGGAACCTTCCTTGAGGGGTTTGTACCACTAAATATATCATTGCTTAGTTAATCTTAAGTTAATTTTAAACTGTCCATAATGCTCTACATACAAGGTGCTTTAGCATGTTGAACTGTAATAACTATATTCCTTGTACTTCTCTGTATCATGTTCAAATTAATAAATAAATAAATAAATACCTGGTCATTATGGGCCACCTTAACATTATTGTCTTACTACTTAATACTAAGAATAATGTTATAGCTCTACAGTAGAATATTAATTATATCATAGTTGTACAGTAGATTATTAATTATAATTGAATGTAATTTATATAAGACATATATTCATATTAAGGCCATTAATGGCCATTAATGGAAATAAGTCACATTTTTTTTTATCTCAGGTTGTCTATATATATGTTGCTATGTGTGATAATGTATATATATGTGTATACCTGAATAAACTTACTGATAGGGAGCACTAAACCTGTAGGGATTATAGTGTCTGTGGGAAGTGAAAAGTATTATAATCATGGGGGAGCACTAAACCCGTAGGATTATACAGTTCATGTGGGGGGGATGGAAGGTATTCTGACTCAGTTCAGGGAACTGGAGCACAGATCCAGTTCCCTAGATCAAGAGCCCCTCCCCAGCATCAAGGTGATCCTCTCTTTAATGTTAATGTAAATAATTTATTCCTAGTTTATCCACTTTTATTATAACTTTCTCACAGTCGAGTAACTTAGCTGTTTTAACTTTAAAACTTAAGAAGGAACACTGCAGGAGGCCTACTGGCCCATGCGAGGCAGGTCCAAGTCTCCAAGTGACCCTAACCTAGTCAGGTCAGGTCACATTACAAGAACCACAATAAAAATATATTTGATTTTTGTGGTTTATTCAGGCAGATAATTTACACCTACATCACTATGATCATTATATTTACGTGTAGCTGAGCTTAAATAAACCTACTTAAACCCGTGTTGCTAAAACCCATAACCTAAATAAACCTACTTAAACCCGTGTTGCTAAAACCCATAACTTTACTGGGTTATTAACTGGGTTATTAACCCTCAGAGTTGGAAATATAAACACATATGCAGTATAATGTGATCCTTTATTGACTACGTTTCGCCCACACAGTGGGCTTTTTCAAGTCACAAACAGAACTAGTTCTGTTTGTGACTTGAAAAAGCCCACTGTGTGGGCGAAACGTAGTCAATAAAGGATCACATTATACTGCATATGTGTTTATATTTCCATTGTGTCGGTATTTTATACCATTTATTTCCAACCCTCAGAGTTAATGAAAAACCCAGAGTCTTATCTAAGCCACCTTCCTCTGGCTTACTAATACACTTACAAACGTCTCCTGACGGCACACTTAACACTTTTCTGAGGTTCCACTGACGCAGAAAGTTGCGTAAGTGCTTCTTCTTGAAGCAAAGTGTAAGTTTGTTTAGCAGTTTCTACTGTAACTACGAGATAATTGTAAGAGAAGTGCCAGGCAGGAGCTGTCAGCTGGTGGCACTTGTTGTTGTGACGCTGCTGAGGTTGTGTCAACCTGACCCCCCCCCAGGGTGAGGTTGTGTCAACCTGACCCCCCACCAGGGTGAGGTTGTGTCAACCTGACCCCCCCCCCAGTGTGAGGTTGTGTCAACCTGACCCCCCCAGTGTGAGGTTGTGTCAACCTGACCCCCCCCAGTGTGAGGTTGTGTCAACCTGACCCCCCCCAGTGTGAGGATTGTGTCAACCTGACCCCCCCCAGTGTGAGGTTGTGTCAACCTGACCCCCCCAGTGTGAGGTTGTGTCAACCTGACCCCCCCAGTGTGAGGTTGTGTCAGCCTGACCCCCCCAGTGTGAGGTTGTGTCAGCCTGACCCCCCCAGGTGAGGTTGTGTCAACCTGACCCCCAGTGTGAGGTTGTGTCAACCTGACCCCCCCCCATGTGAGGTTGTGTCACCTGACCCCCCAGTGTGAGGTTGTGTCAACCTGACCCCACCCCAGTGTGAGGTTGTGTCAACCTGACCCCCCATGTGAGTTGTGTCAACTGACCCCTCCCAGGTGGTGAGGTTGTTGTCAACTGACCCCCCCCCAGTGTGAGGTTGTGTCAACCTGACCCCCCCAGGTGAGGTTGTGTCAACCTGACCCCCCAGTGTGAGGTTGTGTCAACCTGACCCCCCCAGTGTGAGGTTGTGTCAACCTGACCCAAATTTTGTGAGTTCATTACCTTTGTAAATTGTGAGTTCATTACCTTTGTAAATTGTGAGTTCTTTATCTCTGTAACTTGCTCACTATCAAACTTGGAGTCCATCCCTGACCAATTATTACCTGGAGTTTACCTGGAGAGAAGTTTGGGGGGTCAACCGCCCCCGCGGCCCGGTCTGTGACCAGGCCTCCTGGGGGATCAGCGCCTGATCAACCAGGCTTTTTGCTGCTGGCTGCACGCAAACCAACGAACAGCCACAGCCCGGCTGATCAGGGAAATGACTTTAGGGGCTTGTCCAGTGCCAGCTTGAAGACTGCCAGGGGTCTGTTGTAATCCCCTTATGTGTGCTGGGAGGCAGTTGAACAGTCCTCGGGCCCCTGACAAATTATTGTATGGTCTCTTAAACGTGCTAGTGACACCCCTGCTTTTCATTGGGGGATGGTGCATCGTCTGCCAAGTCTTTGCTTTCCGTAGTGATGATTTTCGTGTGCAAGTTTGGTAAAGTCCCTCTAGGATTTTCCAGGTGTAATAATCATGTACTCTCCCCCCTGCGTTCCAGGGAAACAGTTTAGAAACCTTAAGCGCTCCCATAATTTGAGGGGTTTTTTTCTCCGTTATGCGCGCCGTGAAAGTTCTCTGTACATTTTCTAGGGCGGGAATTTTTACCTGCCTTGAAAGGTGCTGTTAGAGTGCAGCAATATTCCAGCCTAGATAGAACAAGTGACCTGAAGAGTGTCATCATGGCTTGGCCTCCCTAGTTTTGAAGGGTTTTCATTATCCATCCCGTCATTTTTCTAGCAGATGCGATTGATACAATGTTATGGTCCTTGAAGGGGAGATCCTCCGACATAATCACTCCTAGGTCTTTGACGTTGGTGTTTCGCTCTATTTTGTGCCAGAATTTGTTTAGTACTCTGATGAAGATTTATTTCCTCATGTTTACCATACTGAGTACTTGAAATTCTCATCGTTGAACTTCATATTGTTTTCTGTTCCTGCAGCCCACTGAAAGATTTGTTGCTGTCCCCTGGACCTTGCAGTTCTGCAATGAAGACAACTGTCCTGCAGAATTCGGTGTCATCTGCAAAGGAAGACACGGTGCTGTGGCTGAACATCCTGTTATGTCGGATATGAGGATGAGGAACAAGATGGGAGCTAGTACTGTGGCCTTTGGGACAGAAGCTTTTCACCGTAGCTGCCTCGACTTTACTCTGTTTGAACGACTACTCTCTGTGTTCGTGTAGTGAGGAAATTAATAGATCCATCGACCGACATTTCCCTTTTATTTCCTTTTAAGCGCGCATATGTGCGCGTATTGACGCCATGGACACACTTGTCGAAGGCTTTTGCAAAGTCCTGTAAATAGTACATCTGCATCTTTTTGTCATTCTAGTGCATTAAGGACCTTGTCGTAGTGATCCAGTAGTTGAATACAGACAGGAGCGACGCGGTTTCTAAACCCATGTTGCCCGCTGTGTGTGTAACGATGGTTCTAGATGGGTGGTGATCTTGCATCTTATGACCCTTTCAAGATTTTATGATCTGGATGTTAGTGCTATTGTCTGTAAGATTCTTATGCTGTTTGCTTTACTGCCCCCTTTGGGAGTGGGCAATGTCGTTAGGTTTTAAGTAACTGATGGACGACCCCCGTGTTCCATGGCTCCCCTCCATAGGATGGAAAAGGCTCGTGATAGGGCTTCTTGCAGTTCTTGATGAACAACAGAGTTCCATGAGTCTGCCCTGGGCAGAGTGCATGGGCATGTCATTAACGCCTGTTCTAAGTCATTTGCGTCAGGAAAACATCGATAGGCTTGTGTTAGTCAAATTTTGTGGCTCTCGTCATAAAAAATTCATTTTGGTCTTCGACTCTCAGTCTTGTTAGCGGCTTGGCTAAAAACGAGTCATATTGGACTGTGAGTAGCTCACTCATTTCCTTTCTGTCATCTGTTAGACCCATCTTGTTTAAAGTAGGGGCCCAATACTGACGTTGTTCCTCGGGATTTTTGATTTGGCATAGAGAAGAATACTTGGGTCTTTTCTTTCGATTTGCATTTATGGCTTTTTAGATTCTTCCCCTGCGCTCCTACTCCTAAGATTTCTTTTATCTTAAGTTCCGATGCTTGCTATTTCCCTGACCAGTGTCTCCACTGCCATTTCAGATATATTGACTTCTTTTAGCCGCTGCTGTTATCCCATTTCCGTCGCCGTAAAGGGAGCGCCTTTTTCCGCTTTCTATTTTTACATCTAACTCCTCCTTTTTCTTAGAGGACTAAGCCTTGTGCATACATCGAGTGCCACCGAGAGTAATCTGTTCGGGCATAAGTTGGGCTGTGTTGTTTATATTTTCCCAGCTTATATCGTTAGACTTGTTTCTTGGTCCCACTTTATTTTTTTTTATTGAAGTTGTTTTTGGTGAATCTCCCTCGGACTAGTTCATTTGTCGGTCTGGGGCTCCAGATACATGTCTAACCTCAATTAGTTGTGACTATTATTGGTTTTGATTTTGGTAAATTTCTTATCAGATCATCAGTTAGGAAGATGGGGTCAGTGTATTCCCAGTTTTGTACCTATTATTTGGGTTTTAAATTAAATTTTGTGCAAGATTTAAAACTCTGTGAGTGTGATTTTTCATCAGGCTGCCTCCTGGTGTTATTACGCAACAAAATTATTGCTATATTCCTCCATTTTAGGTCCCTTAAAGTTGAAACCCCCGGAGAAGATGTTGGTGCGGGACTAAAAGATTTCCGACAGTGGTAAATTTTTTTAACAGCTTTTCCTGGAATTGCGGGGATTTTTGCACCGGGGCTTTTAGACTACCCAATGCTGGGTTTTGGTTCTCGCCCTTTTTACTGCTAAAACTTCACTCCTCATTTGAGGCATAAGCGTTCTGTGCAAAAAAGGATCTGAATTACAGGCCAACCCCCCCCTTTTGCCTTTTCACTTTCCACTTATGGGTTGAAACCGGGGATCCAACTTCTTGTCCAATTTTCCTTATGTGGGTCTCGTAAAACCCCCGGAACATTGCCTTTGCCTCTGAAAAGCAGCCAGGGATGAAGGATTTTTTTGTTTTAGCGGCTTTAGACCCGTATATTTGCAAAGAAAATTTTATCGACGGGGGTATTGTTGGTACTGGGGGGGATTTTTTTTTCCGGCATTAGTACTTATCTGTTGTTTGGATGGAGGCCATCGACTGTTTCCACCCCGGGAAGACGGATTTGGTGTACGATTTTGCCTTTTTCCGCCAGTTTTTTTTCCTTCCTGGGACTAAAAAAACCTCTCCCCCTTGGGTGGCTGTGGCTACCCAGGTTTTCCCATGGCCTGGATGTTTTGTATCTTTTTGCCCCTTTTAAAGGTATGCCTGCAAAATTTTAAATTATGCAAGTCTTTCCTGATGAAAAGGTACACTTTCAGGGGGAAAAAGCTTTCAGGAAGGGAGTTTTTCATTTTCCTGTTTTCTTTTGGGGGATGGCATTTTTTAGGGGGGCATAGTTTCTTCCCATCTGTTTTTCCGTTTCCCAGCCAGAATACCCGGCATAGTAGGCACGGTTTGGGTTTCCGCTTCCCTTGGGTTTCTGTACTGTTTTCCTGGGTGAAAGTTTCCCTTCTTCTTCTACCCCCTACACCAACAATGGGGCCCCACCAGTTTTTTTTGGGAATTTTTTCCTCACTATTGCTATTGGAGTCCTCTTTTTGCTAATTTTCCCGCGGTATTTCTAGTTTGCAATATTGGTTTACTTACTTTTACACATTGTTTCCTACTATGGCTCCCCGCCCCAGAGGGCATTTATATGTATTCCCTTCCCGCGTATAATTTTCCCCACACCTGGACAATACTCCAGCTTCACCATTTCGTCTCCCAGGGCAGTATCTCCAGCTTCACCATTTCTGTTCCCCGGGGCGCACCCACTTCACCATTACTGTCTCCCCGGACGTATTTCCCCTTTCACCTTTCTGTCTCCCAGGACACCCTCCAGCTTCACCTTTCTGTCTCCCCGGACAGTAACTCCAGCTTTACCTTTCTGCTCCCCGGGCGCACCTCCACTTCACCATTACGTCTCCCAGGGCAGCACCTCCAGCTTCACCCCTTACTGTCTCCCAGGGCAGCACCCCCAGCTTTACCTTACTGTCTCCCCGGACAGCACTAAAACCCCACATTAAGACTACCAGGAATCACCTCCGCCTTACAGTTTAGACCCTGTAACTTTTGACTACCCCCCACAGGGTGGGATGGGGGGCATAATAAACATATTAAACTAACTAACCTGACCCCCCATTTGAGGTTATGAACCGACCCCCCCGTTGAGGTTGTGTCAACCTGAACCCCCCCAGTGTGAGGT